TAAAATAATGTGTTAGTTAGCAACAAAGCTGAATGAAATCTTTCTCGATAATCACATAGGAGTTCTACGGAAACTTGAAAGTGACCGGATGTGTAACTTCTCGACTCTACACTTCACCAGAAATCCATAACACACTGAATACTATTTAGTTATCTTTTGGATAATACGGGTTCTCTTTATCAGTGGAAGTTGAGTTTCTCGTGATTAGAGTCAATTCGATTGACGAGCACTACACTCTAATGTTTATGAGCAGAGAAATGAAGGGTATTCACGGGTTGTTCAAAATTCATGAATGAACAAACTAGGACATTACATCGGGAGATGTAGTGAGCGATGTTTTAGTGCATTGTTGTACTTCATCGAAATACTACAGAATTCACTTCGACCTATTACTTTGAGACGTACATATGGGTTCATCAGCTATTGTGAAGCAGGATGGATAAACTGGTTATTGAAGACATTTCCTGACTCATGAGATAGCATCTGCTCTCACAAACAATTGAATAACAATGCACAGTTGTCAAATCTATCTATTCCATGATATGTAGTTGACCATTACCACGTACTGTAAAACATATAATTTTAAATATATATATCAGTATTAAAGAGATGCGTTTTTCTCATGTCCTCTCTTCTCATTTTCACTTCACATGCAATCTCACTCATCTTTGCTCATTACGTCGGAATATATTCTATTGAAATTCACTGATTTCATCGAACCCATCACTTCTAATGCCATTAAATGATCAAACTCAATTGATTTCCGTTGTCATTGTCAATGGCCTTCATTCAACTACTTAAACATACCATGATGTTTCCTTCTATAGTAGTGTCGTGTCTTTGACTCTTTTATTTCTCCAGCTTTTATTTCAGAACTTTCACTGGTTAAATATTTACGTCGATTTCCATTCATTTCCTTCAATGAAATACTCTTTTGTAATCCATTACTGAAACAAGTGTTAGTGACTCATTGTTTTACTGACATCTACGTCGTGCTCACCACTCTTAACGGTTTCTTCGTGTGTAACTCTGAATATGAACTATTCTTCTCACTTAGTTACTCGTGTAATAATGGATGTACTCAACGAAGAAATTCCCAAATTCGCTTTGACTTTTTTAAAACACGTCTTTACTGCTTGAATACATTTATTACTGAAATCATTTTATCAATTATTCATTTCTGTACTCTGGTGTTTTCCATATAAGATAATAAAGGTTGTTCATTTTAAATTGAAATGAAGTATTAAGTTCTTGTGTATATGAACTGGCAAAGGAACCATACACTACCGTAACATGCCATGACCTACCAAATACTTTATCTAGAAATTCTTTAAGCTTTATAGCAATCGATAATTTATTTTCAGATTCATATTCTTGATATAACTTTCTAGCTTCATTGCTGACATTGATTTGTTGTGGTAACATCATATCACCAGAAATGTATTCAATGTCTGGACCAAGTTTAAACAATGCTGAATGTTGTTGAATTGTATTTCTTCGTATTATTTCACTATAAAAAAATACGTATTAAAAATATATCACTCAAATTGATTAAATACCTTTCACTACATTCTTGTGAATGACCTATTTAACATCAAAGTAATAAACATTTAGTTTAGTAGTCGTTCCAATTATATTCAGGTGTAATCATTCAGTGATCCATGCAGACAATACAATTATTCCATCGAAAATATTGTATATCATATAGTTAATATTTCTGAACTCCTTCGCACCTATCATATTAATGCACATTCACTGCACACATTGTTCATTGAATGACTATCCAGATAATCCCTTTTCATACCAAGTACTTTTTCTATCATTTAACATGATTGTGTTCTCAGTTTAATCACTGTAATCCAACCATCGATATATCTTTTAGAAAATGTTTGTCGTTATGGTAGAAATGTATCTAGAATGCTAAACAAAATACATTGTAACAGTCATCAAAGTCCTACAGTGTTTCGAATTGTACAAATGATTGGTTACAGATTAGTGAACAATGTCATATTCGTCTCACCATTTAGTACAGATACAGTTCTGTCACTCAAGTTGTAATGTGGTCACTGGTTTAATTGACTGAACAGCACGTTTATCATTTTGAGTTGTCAGGTAGTTTACGTTAGTCGACAGGAATCGATTGATCTAGTTCCGATATCAGTTGACACTTATCGACAAGTCTCACCTGAACTCTTGAGTGGATGGGTTCCCCCTATGATATTCGAATGTGCATCACTACACTATTCTTCTCGTATCGAAAATTTTACACTGGTATCAAAACCATGGATGTTAACACGCTCGATACATCAATTCACCATCTATATATAAACCACTCACTGGCTAATCCATCGGTTATTGTTCACATTATTGTCTTGAAATCCTACTCTACATGGATAATAATATTGTAACTCAGCAATGGTTGTCTAATTCATGGCGAATCACTGTCTTAAAAGCAATCAGTTATCTCTACAATCCATCTGTACAGATAAATATTATAACTACGAACTGATTCGCTCATACCTTTATTAAGATCTCTTGTAGTGATGAGATGTTCACACTGATTTATCATATCATATCATATCATATCCGAAATGTCAATACAATTCATTTTCATGCAGCCTACTTCCTGTTTGTAACTGTCGAATTCGGATATTTATGGTAACCAGTACTCGTTAAAGCAGTAATGTCTGTCGAGGTTGGAAATTTCATTGCATAACATTCTGACGTTCTGAGCGATATGTGCTGAGATTGTGTTTCGGATTCCACAAATTGACATATTGATGCAATTCGATGAGTTTCACTCTGAATAGAATGCTTATTCTAGACTGAACTGTTGTTCACTGTCAAGATTACGACCATTAAAACTGTAACTAGATTAAAAGTGGTGGAGAGAATTTCAACAATCATTCAGTTATGTTGATAACATCGACAATAGTTCAAATAAGAGACAACGAATGAACTAGCCAGTATGTTAGTGTTCAGTGACAGATCATTTTAAAAGCACCAAATAATTCAAACGGAATTTGGCAACTCAAAGATTTGCAGTAGGTAAAGTTGAGAGAATGTTTAAAGTATAATCAATGAGTGAATAGCTCACACAAATAATGTATGCACCAATATCTATGATGTCTGGGTCAATCTGACTAGCAATAATCACACAATTTCGGTAAGCTATATTCTTTTGACAAATACGTTTTCTTAACTAGTCGGCATTGTTCTTGGAATCTGTGAAGATGACTGACTGAATCCTATATGAATACTTCCAATCAGTGATCAGAGACTTATTTTAGCATGGAATCGGACTATACCTTAGTAAAATAATGCATTCTGTTTGCATTTCCTCTAGTAAATAATTTTCTCACTTATTGTTGTTAGTTGATTTTATTTTGAACATTACAAAACTGTTAAACTCACGTTTTCATGTGAGATCATAGTTGCATCCAGTGTGATGTTTAGTTAGTCAAACATTCGTTTGCATTAATTCAGTATGATATTCATTCAGTGTAACCTACCAAACCTTGTTTGGTGTTGTTGCAGTGCCATTCTATTTCGGGATTCCTACTATCTCAATTACTTAAGATGCGTACTTTATCGGGAATAAATTTTTGCGAAAATGTGTAGTAAGATAACAATGACGAGCGAAGAAAGGAATCATAATGTTCTGAAAAGCAGTGAAAGTACACAAGTGCTTGCGTGACTTTTGTATACTTTCTAGCATTTTGATGCTGTTCATGATATTTGGTAGTGTGGATATGTTTCCCAAATACATTTATTAGGATGGCCGTTTTTAATTTTCATGTACACCTTTCTGCATTTAATTTGTCTAGTGACTGGTGTTTTATTTGTAGCACGTGCTAAGTGCATGATATGTTATCTACAGAGAACATTATGCAAACATCGTCTTCCGATTACGTGGTCTTAATTTAATCTTCCAAATATGTTAATTATGTACTGGATAAACATATCGGTTGGACGTGTCTTGATGTGATAGGAGTACTCTCCATGTGATAATGTGTTAAGGGTTTATTTTATCGTAAGTTAACACAATTAGGTTCAAAACACGTGAGAACTTAACATGCTATGTATTATGATTACGAAGTTTCATCAAAATGTTCCTAGTTTATTTGACTGAAGATCGACTATTTTCTTTTTCGCAAACTTGGCTTTACTGCTGGCAAACGATGAAAATGTAGAGGTTATTATTAGTTACACTATCGTAAATGCATCAATAGGAACGTGTTTCGTTCTCTGTCGTTTTTTCTTGTCTACATGAATAATGTAATTTTCTACGATGGAAACAGCACTCCATCTTCTTGTGGAGGTGTCAATTGTAGCGTAGTCAATCATGATGAAAAATAAACTACAATATAGGAAAAGTCATACGTCTAATTAAACTTTTAATTGAAATTATTCCGAAATATATACAAGGGAGTGACTGAGTGTACGTAAACATAACTGTAATCACAACATCTAGAAATGTTCTCAATCTTTCTATACTACTTTGAAGAGATAAGCATAACATAAATAATTTCCATTATGGATTGGCTTTATTTAGGTAATCATTGAAAACCAGTATGTGATATAAACCTCTGGTCCGGAAATAACCGTGAATCATTCTAAATTAAGACAACATAAATAAAATTAGATAATTAGTACTAATGCATACTTCTGATTATACTGTAAATACAGTGACCTTAAATGACCCTATATATATATATATATATATATATATATATATATATATATATATATATATATTATATATATATATATATATTATATATATATATATATATATATATATATATATATATATATATATATATATATACTCACATAGACATAAGGTAATTTGTCTAAATTTCCTCTTATTTTCTACAATAATTTTCAGGCATTACTGTTGGTTCTAATCAGATCACTATCGTTTGATCGCTTTATGTAAATTGTCTTGTAAAAGATAGCACAAAAAAAGGGTAATTTAAGGAAAACAGTGGTGACAAATGGATAATTTTATTGATATATTTTCAAAAATCGATACAAACTATGATGAAATTATCACTAAGGAAGAATTAGAGAAATTCACCAAAGAGAATCATCTGGATAAGCAAATGGTTAAAGTAAGTTTTGATTATCAACATGAACTGATTTGAATAGACGTGCATGTGTGTTAATATTGGTTATTAAGATGTCTAGTGTTTGTAATTTTTTCGATTGATGTCATATGTACTAGTATCCTGACGCTTAACACAATCAACCTTAAGATCATTGAGTAACAGATTGGAAATCGATTTCATATGCTTCAGTCTAGACTCCAACAAACTAACTGAACTATTATTGGTCGACCGTCCAACTATGTAATAACTGTGTTCTTATCAAAGACTGTATATCGTCATGTTTGAGCCTTCGAAGGGTATTTCAACGATCGTTTGACGATGATGAATTACATCAAATTCTTTCTACACGTCCGACGGTGATACTGAGACTAATAGTTGAATCACATTGGTCACCTACTTCTATCGGTAGTTTCGATTCGACATATTCTGCAGAGAACTCATTCAACAGAAATCTCGAAATTTACAATCCTCTATTCATGTGCATATTTCCGTATGTTTAAGCAAACGCATACGTGGAAGTGCTAACAATCATAGGTCAATTCAATTGACTCAAACGGATCAAAGAGCTAGCCTCAAAACGTCGTCCACGACAATATATCATGTTCACAGTAAATTGATGAAAAAACACAGGGTCTGGACAACAATAATGAAAGAAAGATTAACATAAACTAAAAGTTAGAGTTGTGAATCCGATTAATCAGGTATCTCATCTTTTCATATTCTGAACAATCGAAGATTCAATTCACCCTTAATTTAATATCCAATTCACTCAGCCACATTTTCACAAATTAAGTATGTCTATTTTAATTAGTTATTCTTTATGTAGTTGAATAGATTATTTGGAAATATATTTACATTCTCTTTCTTTTATCCACTTAGAAATGGTTGGAGCTGTTTTCAGAAGGGGCAACAAACTATATTACACTTAATAAGTTTTTAGGTGTTCTAGGTGTTGCAAGAGAGAAATAGTAAGTTTTGTTAAATGTATGCACTTTCAGTTTTAACAATATCATGGTTAGCGATAGTTGTTTTCAAGAGTAAATTTCAAATTGTAATCACATGACGGTTTTCCCATTAGTGTTATGCCAGGACACTGAGAAATATAACACTTATGAACACTATATGAAGCACTACTAGTTCACATTGATTGTGGATGTGATTCATCCTATAAATACTGGTAAATGTCTGTAATTCAGAGTCGTTGATATTCTGCGCCTTCATGAATGGGATGTTGTGTATTGGCAAAAATCAATTGCAGACCTAATCGATATATCCATACTTATTGAACAAATTAGTGGGCATATGTTTCCGACAACTCAATGGATAATGTGTTCGACGCTTGAAGGGAAGGGAATTGTATTGGAGTTTCAGTGGTAGTCTCGAAACTAGCATCGTGTTGCATTCAACTGATGAGACCCAAGTAGGATGAAGGCACATCGTGCACTCCTGTGTTAACCACCCACAAAATGTACTATTATCCTGATAGTTTAAATAATTGATGTGTAAAATATAATGCAGCTACCCAGTTCAGATGCATCAATAATGCTTTCGAATAATTTAGAATGCTTCTAGTGCTCGATGTTCAAGTCACTCAGCGATAAGTATGCCACGAATTAACAAATCGGATTTGTTGAAGAATGAGATGTAGGAACTGGCTTACCGACAAAACAAATAAGACGAGTAGTCAGTCCTGACAGCATTAAAAATCTTTCGGACAGATCGTTAATCCGAATTGAAATACGTATCGAAAGTGCTTATTAGGTTGAGATTACACATTAATGTTCCACACAAATCCACTGTTAGTGAACAATTGGGATTTTAGGTTACTAGTCATTAAGAATTCAGCTATGCGTGCATTTGTAGTTCCTCAATATCTTGATCAGTTTGATGTTTTAATTTATACAATGTCATGATAGACTTTGAATAGTCGTCCACCCTGTTTTACGTGGTGACCAATGATGCGTATATTCACTCTGATTTCATTATCTCCAGTAACGCTGCCTAAGTGGAAAGGGACCAGTGTTGATAAATCAATGTTCTTCTCTGAATTAATACAAACCATATTTTTAATACGTATTTTTTTATAGTGAAATAATACGAAGAAATACAATTCAACAACATTCAGCATTGTTTAAACTTGGTCCAGACATTGAATACATTTCTGGTGATATGATGTTACCACAACAAATCAATGTCAGCAATGAAGCTAGAAAGTTATATCAAGAATATGAATCTGAAAATAAATTATCGATTGCTATAAAGCTTAAAGAATTTCTAGATAAAGTATTTGGTAGGTCATGGCATGTTACGATAGTGTATGGTTCCTTTGCCAGTTCATATACACAAGAACTTAATACTTCATTTCAATTTAAAATGAACAACCTTTATTATCTTATATGGAAAACACCAGAGTACAGAAATGAATAATTGATAAAATGATTTCAGTAATAAATGTATTCAAGCAGTAAAGACGTGTTTTTAAAAAAGTCAAAGCGAATTTGGGAATTTCTTCGTTGAGTACATCCATTATTACACGAGTAACTAAGTGAGAAGAATAGTTCATATTCAGAGTTACACACGAAGAAACCGTTAAGAGTGGTGAGCACGACGTAGATGTCAGTAAAACAATGAGTCACTAACACTTGTTTCAGTAATGGATTACAAAAGAGTATTTCATTGAAGGAAATGAATGGAAATCGACGTAAATATTTAACCAGTGAAAGTTCTGAAATAAAAGCTGGAGAAATAAAAGAGTCAAAGACACGACACTACTATAGAAGGAAACATCATGGTATGTTTAAGTAGTTGAATGAAGGCCATTGACAATGACAACGGAAATCAATTGAGTTTGATCATTTAATGGCATTAGAAGTGATGGGTTCGATGAAATCAGTGAATTTCAATAGAATATATTCCGACGTAATGAGCAAAGATGAGTGAGATTGCATGTGAAGTGAAAATGAGAAGAGAGGACATGAGAAAAACGCATCTCTTTAATACTGATATATATATTTAAAATTATATGTTTTACAGTACGTGGTAATGGTCAACTACATATCATGGAATAGATAGATTTGACAACTGTGCATTGTTATTCAATTGTTTGTGAGAGCAGATGCTATCTCATGAGTCAGGAAATGTCTTCAATAACCAGTTTATCCATCCTGCTTCACAATAGCTGATGAACCCATATGTACGTCTCAAAGTAATAGGTCGAAGTGAATTCTGTAGTATTTCGATGAAGTACAACAATGCACTAAAACATCGCTCACTACATCTCCCGATGTAATGTCCTAGTTTGTTCATTCATGAATTTTGAACAACCCGTGAATACCCTTCATTTCTCTGCTCATAAACATTAGAGTGTAGTGCTCGTCAATCGAATTGACTCTAATCACGAGAAACTCAACTTCCACTGATAAAGAGAACCCGTATTATCCAAAAGATAACTAAATAGTATTCAGTGTGTTATGGATTTCTGGTGAAGTGTAGAGTCGAGAAGTTACACATCCGGTCACTTTCAAGTTTCCGTAGAACTCCTATGTGATTATCGAGAAAGATTTCATTCAGCTTTGTTGCTAACTAACACATTATTTTAATTTAGCTGTGTGAGTGATGTCTACATCATGTGTGCTAGTAATCGAAGGTAAATTAATTTAGATTGAACAAAGTCAGTCATTACTGAATTCAATCGATGGATCATCAATCTTTTTAGAAAAACCAGAACAATTTACAATCCCTAATTATATCGAATAATTAACTAAACATAAAACCTACCAAAACTCACCTGATATTTTTATCAACACTTCAGTTTAATTGGAACAAAGAAACCGAAGTTTCAATATTGGCTAAATAAATTGAAATCAGCAACATCTGGAATCTATATCATGTGTGTAAACACCACTACACTCAGATATATGTTGATTAATATCCACATGTTATCTTCTCAATAATTCGGTACCGATCAACACACAGACTTCAAAGAAGCACGAGTAGTTACCCTCTTCTAAATTATAACGTCATTTGACCATGATAAATGATCACAAATATGTGAGTTGTAGCTTAAATTATTGTTTTCAGCATGCACTCAAAAAGCCTACTTTTTCAGCTTACAATAACATATACAGGTGTTTTGATTTAGGGAAAACTAGTGAACAACTGAAATTCTCTGAGAACCACTTTCCTAATTAAGAGTGATCATGAATACATCGTGACATTTATGAGAATCAGTGCATGTATGCTCAAATAACACATGTTCTAACGGGAAAGGTTTTGATACGGTTTCTGATGTAAGCATTCCCCTAACAGATCTGAAAGTTTTTCTTAAACAGTGTTTTGTAAGTGATAGTTGGTGAGAATCTACTCGAATTTGTACTTGGTCAAGGTTAAATGTTCAGTATTATTTCTAGGAGCACAGTTCTCATTATAGTAGTTACGTAAGTATCAAGAAGTGAATGTTGAGAAATTAAAGTTTTTTTATAAAAAAAAACAAAAACAAACAAAAACAAAAAACCCAATTGTGAGAAGTATGGAAAGTAGTTCTGTTGAAGTGAATGTTATACCGATGGCCAAGGCAGCTAAAGTGGTTGAACAAATTTCTTTTGAATGCAAAGGTCAGGTTTGTGAACATGGATTGCGATGGTTTCCGCAATGTGCAAAAGGCGCACTCGTAAATCATGTAGTATATTTGGTGGGATATGGTAGATAACCTTAAAAGCTTTATTCAATTCAACTTGGTGACCTGTGTCACAACCAAATGAGAGAGAATACAACTTTTAATCACTTTTACCTGTCCTTTATTTAGCCACGACAGATGATGTTCTGTAATTCGGTGACGAACTTGCCGTATTGTACGCCCTATACAACTGGCTCCACAGGAGCAGTTGAACTGATAGATACACATAGATTTGGCGAATTCAGGCAGTCTGTCTTTACTGGTCGTTCTTATTTTGGGGTAGTTGTAGAAGATAGTAATCAGTTTGGCTGCATTAAATGTTTTTTGCACAGCCCTTCTTAGTTTTTCAGTCACGATTTCTTCAATAGTATCATTTATGTATTTTAATTTTATGAATAGTACTTTCTTAGGGACTGTGGGTATCTTCGCCTTTGGTTTCATCTCCATCATGTGTTTGTCAATGAATTTCAAAGGGTACCCATTCGTACTAAGTATGTTCCGAATTTTAGTCAGTTCTTCTTCAATGGTGTCTTCCGAGCAAATCCTTCTGGCACGATGGGTCAATATTTTTATCAAGATCCTTTTGTATCTGATTGGCACTGCACTGTAGAAATGGGTGTATTGACCTGTTGCCAATGTGACTTTTTCATCTTAAAAACTTCTTTGCTCCTATCATTGTGTCAACTTATCCCTCATACTTATTCAGCTGCTTCCCGACTAATATTGAGTTGTATTAGAAATCATCTAAACATAGAGACAAATTTATTATATGTATTTATCGACAGGACTTTCATGTGGAGGAGAATCTACAGTGAACTATGAATATATTACTGAGTTAGGTATCAAATGGAAACCTGCTGCCCAATAAATCTTAAATCCACGTCATGTTCGACCTTGAAAAGTGGAGCTTCATATACTAATCGAGTTGGTTCAGGATTCGTTCTCTCAAACAATAAATACTGTCTGTCAAACAAGTAGAAATTATAATTCATCATTTTATCATTTTTTTCAGACGTACTCTTCGGAAGAGTGTTGTCAATAACCGACCACTGCCGAAAGATTTACAAATAATCTCCCAAAATATGTCACCTGAAGATCAATTCCAAATATTTGAATTTGTTCGATCGCTGTTAGATAAAAATGTATCAGGTCAAGATATGACACAAATGATAAAACAATGGCTTGACAAGACACTCGACCCTTCATGGCATGTTGTTATAATCGATGGCTCATATTGGATATCGTATTCACATTTACCTGAACAATCTTTACAATTTCGATTGAAAGAAAAGTGTTATTTAGTTTGGCGCACACCTAAACATTGACATTGAATCAATAAAATTATGATGATTGCAGTTACTTAACGACTATTTATTCGTAATTGAATTATGTTTACCCATATTGTTGTTTAATCAACCACATATATATACATATATCGACTCAAATGTCAAACTATCTTGTACTTTGAGATGGTGGAGAAGATTTGTAGCTCAGGTGGATGATTTTGATGGAGTTTTGTTCTCTGAGCTGGATGGTTTGGTCGTGGAGCTTTCATCGTTCTTCTGAACGACATCATCAGCACAAACTTCAGATAGAAGTGAAGTGTTCGAATTTCTCCATATGTGTTTCACAGCTTGTTCTGTGCACCTCGATGTTGATTGGTTCTTATTGACCTTAAATTTGTCATTGTTTACTTTTTTGTTTTTATTTTGTCCCCTATTGGTTTGATTCTTGTTCCTATATTCGTGCATAAGTTTCCTGATTGGTTGATAAATCGGATCAATTTCAATATGTTTGTTGATTGCTGATTGACCTGAGTGCCAAGCTTCTAAGAATTCTCTTGTGTTTTTAGAGTTTCCTCTGTCCAAGATTTCCACATTTTTCCAATCGAATGTGTGTCCACAGTTGTCCACGTGTATTGATATAAGTGAGGAGATATCATGCCGTTTGACTGCTAATTGATGTTCATGTAGGCGCAGGTGAAGGGGGCGTCCGCTTTGTCCGATGTAGTGTTTGTCGCAGTTGACACAATTTATTTTGTAGATGATGTTTGATTTATCTTCTTTTGTTATTTTATCCTTTGGTTTGCATAGAATTGACTGTAGTGATTTTGTCGGTTTGTGTGCCACACCTATTCCGAAGGTTTTTAGCAGTCTTGTTGCGGTCTCTGATATGCCATTTATGTATGGTAGTGTGATCCGTTTGTCAATTTCTGTGCTTGATTTGTGTTCTGATGCTGCATGTGGTTGGTATTTTTTGATGAAGTTGATTGGGTAGCCATTCTTTTGAAATACGTCCTTCAGGTATTTCTCTTCCTTTCTTCGTGCTGCCAGTGTGCTGCAGTGTGTCCTCGCCCTCTTGAACAAAGTTTGTACGCAGTTGATTTTATGTGCTCTTGGGTTGTTGCTATTGTAATTAAGAATTTGATCTGTGTGGGTCGGTTTCCTATATACTTGAGTTTCTAGTTTTCCTGTATTAGTTCTAGTGATTAATATATCCAAGAATGGTAGTTTGTTGTTTGTCTCCTGTTCCATTGTGAACTTGATGTCATCGAAGACGTTGTTGATCAGTTTGTAAGTGTTTTCTAACTCATTCTTTTTGACGATGACGAATGT